ACTTTCCCAAGTCCCCAGTGATCCAGCTGCTATTTGAATTCACATTTAAGGAAATGAGAAGATTCACTATTTCTGTGTATTTAAAGGGGAAAGGGAGAGCAAATCCAGACTTTTGTTATGATAGTTATGTTGTTTGAGATTCTTGTGTCATAAAATTGCCCTTTTAAATGTACAGTTTAAGGGTATTTACTGTATTTAGAGTATTTGCAAGATTATACAACCACCATTACATGATCCCAAAACATTCCAACTCCCTCCAATAGAAACTCTGTTTTTTAAAGAAATCATTCATCCCTCCTCATCTTGTGGCAGCCACAAATCTGCTCTATGTCTAGATTTGCCCTTGGGGTGGACATTGAATACAAATGAAATCATGGCCTTTGTCTGTCTTTATTAGCCAAGGCTAACTTCGAACTTGCTATGTGGCCGAGGACGTTCTTGAACTCCTGATCCTACTTCTCTACCTCCCAAGTGCTCAAGGTTTGAAACTGACCAAAGTAATAAATAAAATATCTTATAAGTCAAATATTTGACAGTCAGTGTACTAACAAAGCTCCTATTCTAAATATATTTTTCTGTTACGGAAAAAATGTTTGGAGCATATATAAGTAATAACTTTCTGTTGACTCGCATCCTCAGAAACCCAGTAAAGGTGATTAACTCTGGGATTTCCTAAAAGCCAAAGAATTTATCATTTCTTTCTATGGACAATAAAGAACTTAAAATGTTGTATTAATACTTACCTTGTGAATAGTCTGTTAATTAGCATTTATAAATCATAGTAGTTTCAAGACCTTTGACTTATTCGGAAAAAAATGGCATCTTTCATTTGGAATACTAAATGCATGACTGCATACTTGAATATAAAAGTTTGAGACAGTGAGCAAGCGCATGCTTTTCCTTTTGCATCAGAAATAGTAAATGATACAAGGTTGCTTGCATGTTAACAAGAATAGCCAGTTCTCAAGCTTAGGTATTGAAACATAACCAAGTTGCAGTCATGCAGGAATAGTGCTAGGTGAAATGGAATCATTTCTTTTGTAATCATTACCCGTTCCCGGTTGATTACCTAGGGATTTTACTTTCTCACCAATATCAAGCTGTTTATTACTGTCTTCTGACTTCATGCAACTCCAAATTCAGGATTCTGTGACACTGATTTCACCCATACTCCTGATGCCTTCCACTCAATCAGAGACATTGGGGAAGAATGTGAACTGGAGAGTAAAGCAGACCTGATAGAGATCTCAGCTCACTGGCATTCACCAGCTGGAGATACTTGGCATGCTACTCAACTCTTTTAGGCCTGTCTATTCCCATGAAAATGAAGGAAATCATGCAACTTCATGGAATTGTGACTTGCAGCATTACGTTGAATATATAGTAAGAGCCACAAGAGTGTTCTTCAAGTAAATTCAGTACCAAATTCAATGCTTACTCATCATAAGCAATCAGGAGTTAAACTTCTGTTACTTAGTTTTCTTGAATACCAGCCTGGATCCTAAATGCTAGGAAAAAAAGCCATCATTAAAGTAGACAAATTTCTTCCCCAAGAAGCTTATATTCTCGTAAAGAAAACAGACAATAAATGAATAAATATATAAGTTTGTAGCCAGTCATAGTAAATCTGAGAAGAAAAGTAAAGCAAAAAATAAACAAATAAAATGGGGGCTGGAGAGATGGCTCAGCAGTTAAGAGTACTGACTGCTCTTGCAGAGGACTTGGGTTCAGTTCCCAGCACCCACTTGATGACTAACAACAGACCCTAATTCCAGTTCCTGGGGATCCAGTGCCCCCTTCTGGCCTCTGCAGGAATTGCATGCCACAGGTGCACTTACATGCAAGCAAAACACATACATAAAGAAAAGAAAAGCATGTTTGGGGACTGGAAAATGCTAAGGGGGGAACTCCCATTAGTTTCAGGAGCAGAAAGGCCTCTGAATAAATTATATTCAAGTGGAATTGCTGCAAACATTTCTGGCTTTATTGTATTTTAGCTTTTGTATTTTGAGATAAGGTTTCATGTATCCTAGACTGGCCTCCAACTTACTAGCTGAGGATGACTTTGAACTTCCAGTCTCCCTGCCTCACCTCCCCAATCCTAGAATTCAAGTATGCACCACGAGGTCCAGTTTATATATTGCTGCTTTTAGTAGTGGCTAGCCTCTTGTATTTCTGATACCTGTATGCCTCAAAAAATTTGATTGATGAAAGACTTTTGATCTGTAGTTTACAAATATAAAGTTGAAATGCTGCAGTTCTAAATTTGTATTTGTTATGAATAAACATTTCTTTAACTTGGAGATATAGAAGTTTTGTTGCAGAAGCTTTACTCCCAAGGGAAGGGTACTTACTGGGCTGGCAGTCTTGTGGTCACACTTTATTTAATTACCGTAATTACCTCTCTAAGTCCGTGTTGAACTTAAGACAACAAAAATGCAAATGGCTGTCATTTATGAAGTGCCAGCAAGGGGAGGTACAGATGCTTTGTCATTTAATCCTCACAGCTAACTTTATGAAGTAAATATGTCTCTTAATTACAAATGAGAATGCTAAGGCTCAGGTGCCAGACAGCAAATAGCAGAACCAAGATTCAAGCTTAAAGAAACTTTCTGCTTTCAGAGCATCCATTCTCTCTAGCACTCTTATCTAAGCCTGCAATGATAACTGCCACTGTTCTCACTAATAATATTTAGAAAACATTTTGTCTTAGAGTAATATTGTTTCTAAATTCAATATATATGCTTATTATGTACTGAGGATTTGATAATGCACACTTTCACTACTAGTTTTGTTTTGGGTTTTTTGTGTTGTGATGTTAGGGTTTGAACCCAGGGCTTCACACATGGTGTGCTCTCCCACTGGGCTACCTTCTCAGCCCTATTGTATTTTTTTAAATATCGGGTGGTAAGACAAAAAGAACTTGGTTGGTTGGTTGGTTGGTTGGTTGGTTACAGGTTGTCTACAGGTTGTCCTATAGCCAAGCTGGCCTTAAACCCCTGCTCCTCCGGCCTTAACCTCCCAAGTGCTGAGATTAGAGGCTTAAGCTACTACAATTGGCTCCAGACAGAAAATTTACCTCAATATACCAGGCTCTTTGGTGGTTATAATACTATAATAGTGCCACTGCTAATATGCTTTGAACCTTAAAGATAGCTTCCTCATCTACAAAATAAAGATAAAACAACCTAAGATTCAGAGTGATCAGTAAAATATGGAACATTACCTAGTCTGTGGTAAAATCAGTTACCTGAATCCATGTACTGCAGAGTCCTACATTATTCTTTTGCACAGGAAATCAGGGGCACCCAGTGTCCGCATTCTAGAAGCTGAGCCCAAGACAGTGATCAGTGTAGGCTGGTAGTGAATAATTTACATACGCACATTATGAAAGTGTTTCTCATTCAGTCCCACAGGGACCCCAATCAAATGGTGATGGTGGTGATATAAGTGGTATTACAGTGTTGATGGTATTATTGGATACATACTTAAATATGGGGGGGTGCAACATGAATACAAAGGCAGAGTACTTACAAAGGGCCTGGAAAGGGCTTAGCTATCTGTGGATAAAGATATCTTTGGGATATGGGCTTTGAAAACTAAGAATAGCTTCTGTGACAGGATGGTGTAGCTAAGAGGAATAGCATGGTCCCATAGCCTCGTGACAGAGCAGAGATGATAAATTAGTCTGCCTTACTCTTCACCCAAGATCTTAACCCTTGACTAGAACAACACACCAGGAAAGACTCATTAGCCTTTTTGCATCTTTTTCTGATCCCTATTCTGTTGGACCCTCAAAGCAAATCATAAGAGTTGGAAAGGAAAGGAAAATCAGGGTCACTCCAATCCACTGCCACTTAAGGGTCAAGGGATTCACCATTGATTGCCTTGGATTTCATCATCTGTAAAAGGACAGAGGACATGTAGATACAGTTCTCTAGTGTTACAGTCAGCTGAATCACCTGGAAAGCTTGTTAAAACAGTTGTTGTTCCCCTGCCGCCAGAGATGCTGATTTAGTAGATCTGAATTGTAACCCTGAGATTTGCATCTAACAAACCCCAAGTAACGATTTTGCTGATAGGTCAAGGACCAAACATTGAAGAGCACTGGTCTCTTTTCTGTGGTCTTGTTTCCTACCAAATGTTCCATTTAAAACACAGAAATCAGACTATATGAGTCATGTAGTTCCACCTCCAATTTAGTCTGACACCTTCAGCAAAACATTTAATCTGTTTATCAGTAAATTGGTACTCTCGTGGTTCCCTTTGGAACAGGATGAATGAGAGAATCCAGTCTAATTCCCAAGAAACTGCTTTTGAAAAGAAAAGTATACAAATTATTAATGTGTGCATATCAATGTATGAAGATTCTGTTTTGACAGAATCCTTAAGGAAACTACAGTCTACCTTTATATGAAAAATTAGCAGGAAATACCTCTCTCTATTCTTGTCCATAATGAAGAGGAAGTGCTTCCATGGAATAAAGTTAAAATACAGAATACTCATGAGGGAAGTGCATCCTTTTGCTATTTATGTAATGAGTTAATTTTTTAAAGAACATGGATAAAAGAGTAATAGCTTAGAACTATCTGGGCACCTAAGTCTTTGAGCCCTTTAGGGTCTTGACACCTAAAGAAAAGGGGGAGGGGAGTACTCTTGTCTCTAAGGCTTTGAAAGTGGCCTTCCTTGAGGCATTAGGGAAGCTCTGGGGGCCCCAGGAGCTAAAGGACTGAGATGCCTGGAGCATGAGTCTGTTAGCATGAACAAAAAGATAGGGGGAAAAAATGGCTGGTAAGTAATTTTGCTATTTCATTTTGTGCAAAGGAGAAAGCAAAACCTGCAATATTTAATGAGCCAAAACACAAATTGTGACATGGATGTGAATGCAGGCTGACCTCTTCTCAGGAACATTCCTGAGCCTGAATAAAGCACTCAGTGTTGAGGCTAATGTACATTAGCATGCATTTTAAACCATGGTGACCCTTTTGTTTCTCTGCTAGGCGAAGATGAGGATGAATTTGAGAATTTTATGCTGCCTCTTACAGTCTCTTTTGAAACAGTATTACAGATATTCAACAATAACTTTAAACAAGCAGCAGCAAAGGTGAGTTTGTTTCCAGACATGAGGAAAGACAAGCTTGTTCTTTCTAGAATTTCTTAATTCCAGAGGTGGTTTATGCATCTGTATGTTGTAGGCTTTTCAGGCCTGCACTCCAATTCCATGTGCCTTGAGTTGTAGTTTTCTAGTTTCTTAGACAAATGAACTTTGAAGTCAGAGAGTGGTTTTGGACAATCAGTTCATGATTAGGTGGTACAGATTTTTCTCCAGTGGAAGTTACCATCTGTAATAGGGCACACCATTCTAAACATCGCTATTCCCATCTACCCTGCACTGTGCATTTCAGCATATCTGTATGGAGAAATGCACACATGCTAAAACCCTACATCGCTAAATATTTTTTTAAACAAGAATTTATATAAATCAAGACTTTATTAAATGGCTAGGCATATATGTATAAATAGGAGCTGGTCTTGAAGTATTGCATTCTTAAACTGAACAAAGTGATTAGGATAACTGATAGCTAAATAAGGTTTTTATGTGCCTGTGGGAGCCATATGAGGATTGATTTGACAAGTCAGTTCAGCTGTGGCAACAGTCATAATATCTAAGACAACATTATGTTTTATTAGTAAAATCCTTAAGTGTAGCAAGCTGTTTGTGACAAAACAGCCCCATATTTTAACATGGGGGATGGGAAGCATAAGCTTTCCTAAATAGAAATAATATCTCCTGAAATTATTTTGTATCAAGGCCATATTAAATAGATTCACACTGATTATTATTTTTAAAAGATTTCTAAGTGCACTCCAGAGAACATAGGCACCTTTGCTGGTGATACCCAATGTTATGTTATTTGAAATGGGTTGAACTATTCACTACCTTTAGCATCACTCCTTTTCTCACACACATGCATGCACACACACACACACACACACACACACACACACACATAGTATGAAGCCAAACTGAAAAACAAAATGGCCTTTCACAATATTTGTGTAACTCTGTCAGAAGAAAGAAATGTTTATTAAGATCTCATGGTCTTGAAAATTTTAAAAGCAAATAGACTCTTAAATTTTTCTTTGTGTTTATATGGTCTTGCTGAATCTTTTCAATTTTCAGTCAGATTAACTATATTTTTAGATGTTTTCCAAATACTTCTGACCAATAAAATCTTTGCAGCTTTAAAGTGGCCATTGCTGCCTCTTATCAAAAAGAATCAGTGAGGTTGAAAACTGCCATCTTTATAAAAATTACATTTGTCTCATTTGAAGATTTCATTATATTGCAAGCCTGTTTGGATGTAATTCCATCTAGTTTGATAGAAACCATCTTCCTAGAGTCATTTTTAATGGAGTTCCAGTGATATATCCCTAAACCAGCAAGTTCTTAACGACCCTGGAAAGTGACTGCTTGATTACACTTTAACGGTATTTGCAAATAAAATCACAAGTAATTAAGGGGAAATCTCCAGGCTTTTGAGCAAGTTTGATGCATGATAACTGCCTGATTCAGCTTCATCTAGAGTAATGCTGTGTAGGCAACAGCTACTGAGATCAATAGCAACGTAATGATAGTGGCAGAATTAAGTGAGTAACCTGAGAACTGTGCCTCAGAATGCATGCAGCTGCCACGAACCAAGGCCACACAGTGCACTCTGTGCTTCCGTCCTAAATGTTCATCAAAAGACGCCCTGCAGGAAAATGGAGTTAGATGCTCTTTATTGCTGATCGTGTCTCTTGCCACATTTATCAGGGAAATTGGATTAGCAGTTGGCAGCTGCAGGTAGACAAGATTCTGCAGTGATTAAATATGCAGCTTGGCTGCATTTGTTGTGACAGACCTTTAGTAAATTCTACTGTAAGCACCATCTGTCTAATTTGTATAAAGAAAACTTGGTGCTTTAAGCTACTGAGAAAGAACTAAATCTGTTGCTTTATCATAAACAAAACTTTTGCACTAAATGCTTTTAAATGTAATTTATTAGGTTAAGGCTATTTTTCTATCATGATGAATAAATAATACATGCAAAAGTGCTTTCAGGTACTTCATTTTGCAAGTACTAGAGATAAAAACAGCTCTGTTTTGTTCTTCAATAAAGTATTTAGTATTCCAATCCACAGGAGGTGGTGCTGTTAAAATATCTCTATGAAAATGCTGCAGGACTGCCAAATTCATTTAATTTGGAAACCTTACCAGGATCTCCTAACTCTCTATTTGTAAATATTTTTCAAGTGCAGATATCAGAGATTGAACTTAAACATTAAGGACCTGGGTTGCCAAATTGCAATATTATGAGGAGAAGAGATGCGGCAAAACTCTTTAAATTTATAGCATTTTTTTTTTATTTAGTCTCATTAAATTAACGTGAATGTTGAATTCTTGTCCGGAGTTTTTCTCTCTCCAAAGTCAAGGAGAAAGAAAATAGAATAACCAATCCTGGTTCTGGAGTACTACTTCAAAATCTATGCTTCCCCATATCATTTTATCCACCGGAAAACACTGTGTGCTGTTCCCTGACTCCTGCATCATTTTCGATTTGGCCATGACATCATGGGTTTTAGGGAAAATGAATGAAAACTTCTCAGAGGAAGAGGAGCAGTTAAATAGGAACCTGCTATCTTTAGTCCCTTCATAAAAACTCCACAATGCTAAATTATTTAAAATCCTTGATTTTCAGCATGCGCACATTAAAAGTTTTCGCACTAAGTGCCAAATGTTGCAAACAGCACTTTAACAGAATGATTTTGCTTTGATCCCTGTAGCAGTTCCTGAATAATTTATCACAGGTTATTGCCTTAATTCTGGAGAGGGATAGAGCAATAAAGGCAGATGAAAACACTCCAGTTGAAACACCTTGGGGCCTGCTCATTCCTCTGACACGGCTCTTTTGTTGGAACTATTTAGAGGTTATTAAGATGTGTCTCCAGAATTAAGAGTATGCTGTAAGGATGAAGACAGCCATCTTAATTCTAAAGACAAAGCACAATGACCCTTCACCTTCCTTTTCTTTGTTGTTATTATATAGTAGAATTATGAGGATAATATTATAGCTGCCCCAGTAGTGCCACTACAGTAAAGGGTCTGTCAGACTTCCCATTAGAAACCCTGTTTGGGGGGTCAGGGTGGAAGGAGCTGCGTTTCAGCTGTTTCCCAGCCCATCCGTCTCACACTTGGCACACAGACAACTGTTCACCATGCAGCGGACTGAATCTCTCAGCAGTTTCTCCTTGAACTGTCCTAAAAGGAATCCACATTAGATAGCCAAAACTACCCCACTCCTCAAAACAGCCTCACCTAAAATATAAGAGCCTGTCACTTTTAGATCAGTGATGGTAAACTGTGGGTCCCTGAAAATTCAGTCAGATCGTCATTTGCTCTCAGATTATTTGGTAGCCTAGTTAAGCCCCTAGTTAAGGCTTCCTCTGTCTCATGCCAAAGCTGGGTATTAAGAAAATTTTCTTTCATCATTGTTTCTGTTTTTGTTTAGATAATTACAGTATTCTCTACTGCTCTGAGAGGAATACGATTGTTTGAAAATGATAAATCTGTTTCTTATTCATGTTAACTTTTGTGTTCAAGTGACTATTTAAAACTAACAGTTATGCTTTCTCTACTCTGAAGTAACATTTTCTCAAAGTAAAACATTGATGTAATTTCATGGCCACATTTTACTGTATTAAGAAGACTATAGATTTTGTTAATTGGAGCATTTGTATTAACTTCCCTTTAAGGTAGAAAAATTATGATCAAATAAAAATTAACCTTTTGTATAATTTATGAAAAGCCCTTTGTATTAGGTATAAAGAAAGTAAAATTCATGGTTCTCGTACCCTAATCTAGAGTTGAATGGTGGACGTCTTATATGTATGTGGAAGCTTAAAATTACTTGAAGAGTAGCCTGTACATAGTAAGGACAGAACAAAAAGTACTTTAATAAATGACAAAACCAAATGCAGATTTCATAGGTTTGCATAGACGACAGCCAGAATAGCAGTCATTCAAAGAATGCTTCTTAGAAGACAGACTTTGTTCTGGAGGCTCTAAGAAACGTAGAAAGCTGAGAAAAAGAAGAACCATTTCAGATGGTGAAAATAAGACTGCATGGTAACCAGTTGTTCCTAAATGACAGGCAGCGTGAGGTAACTGCAAGCAGGCCAGTTGGTTATAGAAAAACAAGATCTGGTAATATTATGGGAGATACTGTAACCGTGTCAGTCATTGTAAACAGTAGACCTCGAAATTCAGAGTTTTCAGACTCAGATCTTCAGGTACCCATCATTCTGTAAACCATTATGCAATAGTTTACAGAATAGTTTCTCCCTGTCTCACAAACAATATCCAATTATGTTGAGTCACATTTTAGGTAGGATGAGCTATCTGTCTTGATTGCTAACTACTGTTTGCTATTTTAAACTTTCCAAAAAGCAGAACACAAGGTTAGATTACTAGACCTCAAAACAGCCTCACTGAAAATTCAGGAGCCTGTCACTTTTTAGATCGGTGACAGTAAACTGTGGCTCCCCTAAAATTCAGTCAGTAATTAAGATGGTTGGAATTTACTTCCTTCTTGATAACTTAAGCTTCTTAGTAAAGAAGTTTTCATTTATTCCCCCCCCAAAAAATATGATAAATAGTTTAGAGGGCATTTTCTGGCAGAATATTTCTACTGAAAACTATATTCAGAAGTCATAGTTGCATACCTCAACTATCCTATGTCCTTGTTGGGCAATCATGTTTATTTGTGCTTTGTTCTGACATTCTAGGGTCTGTTTATAGGTTTTCCTTTTCTCTCCTGAAGCATCATCCTAAGGACAGCTTAATTAAGAGTCCAGAGTATGAGTCCGATCTTTTTGATTCGTGTCAAGGGAGTTTTTACCCCTTTTCCCTTCTAAAACAATTTATGCATCACTTACATTAAGTGCAAGACTTTTGCTAGGCAGTTTTGCAAACAAATTTATTCCTCATAGTGGGTCTGTGGAATGGACATTATTTAATACCCCTGTTCATAGGTAAGAAAACTGAAACTGATAGATTGTCTTGCCTTTATAAGGTAAGTAAAGGAAGGGTTCAAATTCAAATGCCAGAGCATTTCAAAGGTAGAGTAAATTGTATAGCAGGGCTGATTTTATGCAAGCTGATTTATTGAAATTGCTGTTACTAAATAATGTCTAGTCTCTGTATCTCTTCTGTAAATTATTAATCCTGGTCTTTTTTTCTAATTTGGAAGTATTCAGAAGCAAACCATGTTGAGTCTAAATGTTTCTGGGCAGCTAAAATTATGATTTTGCTTCATTTATATGGAGTTGGTCATCAGATTTGTGATGGTCTGTTTATTTAAAGTCTATGGTTTTCTGTGGAAAAGGATCTGAGCGAGACATTTTAACTAATGAATCAAAATCAGATATGTGGTCATTATTGCCTGATTATTACTCCATCTGCTCTGCGCTAACGTGAAAATCAATTACTGTGTCTCTTTCCCACTGACAGCGTATGTTGATCGGCCTGGCAAGAGATCTTCGAGGGATTGCCTTTGCACTGAACACAAAGACCAGCTACACCATGCTGTTTGACTGGATGTATCCTTATTACACTGTGACAATACCAGCTCTGTGCACAGAGGGATGCCAGGCCCCTTTCTTTCGTTTAATAGTGTGGCACAGTAGGGAAGAGGAAACAAAGCTAAATGAACTAATGTGTAATCAGCTAAAAATTACAGCACAGTGGCAGCGGTACAGATAACTGAGCACAGCATTTGGAGACCCGGCTCAGAGAGGTCACTGTTTTTGGTGCCATTAAACATTGACAGCTTAAAAATCACTCCCCCCAAATGATTGTTTATGATGAGGTTGCAGGCATAAACTAGCTAATATCTTTACTTGAGATCAATGATTCATACCATTTACTATTTTTGATGAGATTTGAATATCTGTTCCATTTCAATTATCAGGGCTGAGAAGCTTACTTATCTCTTTGAGACTTAACTTGTAATGCTACAGTTTATCATTATGATAAATTAACGAGCATGAAAAAGGGGCAAATAAAAGGTCAGAATTTGTCATTTGGTATAAAATTTGAGTTTACCATTACTAAACCTTAGTGTAGATAGAAAAGTCCCTTTACAGAAATGTCTTGCCACGTAAGAATGAAAAGAGCATGGATTTTGATGTGAGATGATACTTAAGTCCCAGCTCTTCATTTACTGTATAAACCTCAGCAAGTCATCCTGCCTTTCTGAAGCTTGATTTAATCATCAAAAAAAAGGAGACAATCCAGGATCCTGGCTTACTGTGACCATTAAAATAGGTAATGCATTCTGTCTGCTGTCTGACACATGTGCAGTGGCCACAAACATTTATTAACATTTTAATAGTACTATATGAATCATCTTTGATCCTAATGAGAAATGACCATTTGTATTAGTCATTGAAATGTGAGTGATAGTTTCATGCCATTTATACATTAAACCAGAGCACAAGAAAATTTAACTTTAAAGCTAATTTGTATTTTTTGCTTTGTGCCTTTTTTGAGACAGAGTCTCATGTAGCCCAGATTGTCCTCAGACTTGCTATAACCAAGGATGGCCTTAATCCCTTGATCCTCCTGACCCAGCCACCCAAGTACTGGGATTACAGGCATTTGCCACCATGCACAGTGGCATTTACTTCTAAGATAGATTAATTCTCACTCATTTTATTTAAACCTTTCTTATCCAAACTTCCTTTATATATTGCAGAAGTAACTTTTTTAAATTTTTATTTAATATTTTTATTTTGTGTATATGCCTGTATTGCCTGCATGTAAGAAAGTGCACCCATGTTGTGCAATGCCCACGGAGATCAGAAGAGGCTGTCAGATCCCCTGGGACTGGAGTTACAAACAGTTGTTAGCTGCCATGTGGGTGCTGAGATTCGAACCCAGGTCTCCTCCAAGAACAACCAGTGTTCTTAACCGCCGAGCCATCTCTCCAGCCCCTGCAAAAGTAACTTTTAAAAGCAGCCTTCAGTTACTATGCCACAGTTGTGGTCCAAAAGATAACAGATGATCTAAGCATGTTTTATGGAGAACTCTACATATTATGAAAACTTTTAAACACTGACATGGTTTTTAGTTGCTGTGGAAACCTACTTCATCCGATTTAGGTGCTTAGAAATCAGTCCAATAAGATTTTTCCGTGACCCTGAAGAATCACTGATACGCTTTATATAAGTGGATAATGCTTGTGTACAGAGGCCATAAATTTAAACATAGCAAGTCTTAAATTCCTGTATGAAGGATAAACTGAATTACATATGACCTTTTTATTTCTCTAAACAACCACTCTCAAAGTCAAAACTTTCATTTACTTAGAAAATCATAAAAACCTACTTTTGGCACTTAAAATTGATGCTTCTTTTGAAACAAAATTATAAATGTAGGATGTCCAACAATTAATATTTCATGTTTTCTTCTTCAGTTTTAACCAAGAGTCAAGGTCAGAAACTTTGCCCTGAGTGTCAAAAAATAAAATCTGTTTTCCATTTTGGTGGGGAGGTGAAATAATACTTTTGTCCAGCAGATGGCAGAAAGTAGTAAATGGAAAAATCTTGGGACTTGGTGTTTTGTTTTGAAGTAGAAACCATTGTCTCCTCCGTTTGGCCATAGATATTGAAATTATTGGGAGTGGGCCAAAGGGTGAAGTGTCAGTTACGTAGGAACCTGAGCTAGATTGCCGAATGCAGTGGCTTGGTACTGGCCTTGCTTATAATAATTGAGTTTCAGTAGCAAATCAGCTTCCTTGGGAAAAGGCCAAAGGCTTTTCATAATTGTATTGACAACAAAATGAATATGATAAATGGTGTTCATTCAGTTGAGACAAGATTTATAGTTTTCCTTTGGGCAAGGGATGAAGAGCAAATATTTATAATAATAGTAAAATTTGTTTAAAAGTTACATTATTTGATCATTCAAAAAGCTTTATTAAAATATTTTGAAATACTTTTAACAGTTTCAGGTGATAAAGTACAGATTCTTTCCAAAGTATTCAAGTAATGCAAAAATGAATAAGTATATGATTAAAAAAAAAACACAGATATGAAAGTCATTTATTCTTCCTGAAATATTGATATGTCAAACCGTCAGTGATGATTCCCATATTACTGCTGGGGAAAGTTTATTTGCCTTTTATCCACATAAATGTGTGTTCTTTAATTTGTTATACAATCCTTAGCTTGCAGAAGAAACATTCGTGTAAGAGCACATGTCATCTTAAAGTCAAAACGCATTTTATTTGTGGTGATTGCTTGATAAAATGCTATTTTAGTGGTTAGCTATTTAATTCAAAAACATTTCTATAAACACTGACTGCATTAACTGCTCCATAAACTACATTGCTCATCATTCTGTCCTTCCAAAACTAAATTGCCTGAAACTACAGAGCAGCCATCTTGATAAATTTTTGCATGACTACAGAGTTCAGCAAGAATCATTGTCCCCGAAGTGAGACCGCAGCAGTAGAAAGCTCCTCTCCTTGCGCGCATTTCAACACCATCTCTAAACTAAGATATCAAAAGTCCAGAGGGAGGCTGAAAACTAAAGCAAAATGAATGTTATACTTCCTCACACTTTTTTGTTGTTTTTGTTTTTTAAGACAGTCTTCCTGTAGCACCGGCTGGCCTGTAACTCACTATGTAGATCACGCTGACCACTGAGATACACCTGCCTCTGCCTCCTGAGGGCTGGAATTAAAGGTGTGCGCCATGTCTGGCGTCCTCCTACTCTTAATCACCATGTTGTGATCACAGAGTCTGTTCAGTGCTATTTGTTAATGTATATAAACATGCTATCCACAGACAAAGCATGACAATGAGCTATAAAAAGAGCAGGAAACTTTTGCTAGATTCCAGTTCTGGTTTTACCACTTAACAACCTGTGAGTCTTGGGTGAGTTATTTTGAATCTCAAAATCACAATTTTACTTCTATAAAACAGGGCCAGTAATACCCATTTCATAGTTTGGTTGTAAGAACTGTTGGGATTATGTGATGATATAAAGATCCTAGTACAACATCTGGCACAAAATAAATATTCCAGGCAAAGGAGTCAAACTTGCTCAATTATTCAACAAAGTAGGCTTCCTTAGTCCAGTGTGCTTCCCTTTCTTGAAGGGTATAGGTTACTGAAACACAAATCTTACTCCTAAATAAACTTTTAGGTCAAAAGACTCATCTACATAAATGACTTACAGTAGCATATAGAAATATGCAAATGCAATAACAGAAACACAAACAAGAAAGTGATTACATTATCTGGTTGATAAGGAATGAGTCTGTAAAGGTGGAAATACTGCCTGAATCTTGCTCAGTGAGTAGGACTGGACTGTGTGGAGCTAGGAAGAGTCAAGTTTTCAGTTGCTTATCAGTCTAAGAGGGAAGTAATAAAAGAATGTAAGAGAATGGAAGTATCCTCTGACCACTGTGCTGGCAAGCTATGGTAACACACACACACACACACACACACACACACACACACTTGCACTCATCAAGGAGTCGAGGGGGGAGTCAGTTACCCCTCCCACCCAATCAGTCAACCTTAGCTGCACGTGGTGGGGAGGTGGGGTGCTAAGGGCTAATGATTTATAAGCCAAGGATGCCATGAGGCACTTCTCTTGCCATTTTGTGCAGCAGTCAGGAAGTCACAACATCTATATTTGAGTATGAACTTTCCAGTGCAGCCATAAATAGGAGGGCACCCACTCTTCTGTAAATAAATCCCCACCCTATGTTCTAGTTAGGATTTTAAAAAAAAAAAGAACAGAGCTAATGGAAACCTTCATTATTCCACCAAAGTTGACCCCATGTTGGCAAATCCTTTGGTCTTTGATTCCTTTCTTTTTTTTTTTTTTTTTTGTTCTTTTTGAGACAGGGTCTCCCTGTGGCCCCAGCTGGCCTGAGCTCTCTGAGTAGACTGGGCTGGCCTCAGACTCACAGAGATCTGCCAGGCTGTGCCTCCCAAGTGCTGGGATTGAGGATGTGTGCCACTGTGCCTGGCTTTGGTCTTTGATTTCTTATCCCTACTTTTCCACCCTTAAACTTCATTGTGTGTGTGTGTGTGTGTGTGTGTGTGTGTGTGTGTGTGTATTATGTAGCCTACTTCAAGTTACTTCTAGAAAAAAAGTGATAAAAATTGCCTCTCTTGGGAGTAATAAAAATATTCTTTAAAACAAAAAAGAGGAGAGTGATAAAGATGTTTCATTACCGATACCGCTTACTTTATACTTAAAAACAGATTGTCTGAAACCCTTTAGTATGACACCATAAAATGTAGATCCTTATACTAAAGCAGCATGAAGCCTATAGAATAGATTTTGATGGTTTTGATTGACTAATGTAATCAGAAGTATTTCTCAAGAAGAAAGTAATTGGCAATATATGTGAAATAATTTTAAATAGGAAAGAAACTAAGCCTGAAAGTCATGGTTCAGCAAGCATTTTTTTAAATGTACGTTTTGTGCACAACAAGTATAAGAATAAATTATTCCTCTTCAGAAGCTTAAAACCAAGTAACATGCCCAAAACAACAATAAACAACTAAATGCATAG